TACTCTCCCGGTGCAGGCAGAGAACCCTTCGTCCTTTCACACTCTCCAAGTATAGGCAGAGAACCCTTTATCCTTTCACACTCTCCAAGTGTGGGCAGAGGACTCGTCGGCTGTTCACACTCTCCAAGTGTGGGTAGAGAATCCTTCATCCTTTCATACTCTCCAAGTGTAGGCAGAGAACCCTTCGTCCTTTTACACTCTCTAAGTGTGGGCAGAGGACCCATCGGTTGTTCACACTCTCCAAGTGTGGGTAGAGAACCCTTCAGTTGTTCACACTCTCCAAGTATCGGTAGAGAACCAGATCTCCATGATAGATCTTCTCTCAAGAAATCTAGAATGAAGAGAGAAAAGAGCGAAATAATCAAAAACCACAAGTAGAGACTCTTATCTTTGAGTACCAAGTGAAACCTTCACGCTCCAATAGTAAGAATCATCCTTCAAACACTCTCTCACACTCAATCCTTGAGTCTCCCTTCAGTTGGCACAAAGATCAGTAGGCAAAAAGATTAAGAGGCAATTTAATTGGACTTTATATAGGTAAGACACAAAAAACCGTCCAAAAATTACTGATATTCAAGTCTGTACATAGTGGATTGTCCCGTACGATCGTGGATCATCCTGGACAAATTTACTAAGTCAGTTGCATACGAACCCAATGTATATTGGTACGAACTGACTTCGTACCCAATTATCGTCCCGTACGAACTAAGTTCGTCCGGTACGAATAGTTATACCATGGGTCGGTTTGATAAACTGCAGGAAGTTATCAAAATTGGAAGTAATAAAACATTTTTGTCCTGGGATGAATACGAGTTCGTTTGGACAAAATTTTTACAGTGAGCATTTCGTCCTGGGCCGAATAAGAACTCGTTTGAATGAAAATTTCCATATAACATTTCATCTTGGGTCAAATTAAAGTTCGTCTGGACAAAATTTTTACAGAGAGCATTTCGTTTTGGACGAATAGAAAATTTGTCTGGATGATCAGTACTTAGAAAAATTTTCTTACTTCCTGTTCGTTCCATTGCTTTTCTGAGGGGATAACTGACTTGATCGTCCCGTACGATCAGTATAAATTTTAAAGATCACCCCAAGTGTGTGTATGCTAAGTTACTTAATTACAATCACTCCCTCTTAAACTCAATACAATGAAAAGTACAAGTTTCAATTTTATAAATTATCTCATGCTGAATTTTGATTTGAAGTCTTCATTAGTCTGGAGTTCGATTATCCTGAAATGTTAGTCCACACAAGAGCAAAAATAATTCTTCTAAAAAGTGTTAGGAGAAAACAAAAATTTAAAACAATAATATTTGGAATCATCAAAACTTTATAAGTTACAAGAATGTAAAACATGCAAATAGCAACTTTCTCAACAGAACAAACTAAATACTGATATCCAACTAGGTAATAATTTGGGTGAAAGGATGAAAATATTATTTAAAATTGGATGTCATGCCTTGCTCTTCATAATTATATTCATGGTTATATTTACATATTAGTGCATTGAACTAATTGATAAATATAACTAAAATTATTCTAATATTAATACTAATACAATATAACATAGCATACTAATATGACTCATTGGACTACAGTCTTCTTTACTAATTTTTTTTTTGTAGTTTGATAGATCTCTTTTGATTCACTAATCATATTAAGTATATTCTTAATTTTAGAGATTTCCTATCACGCATAATAATTGATGATTGATATTAATTAAAACTAGAGTAATCATATTGAATATATAGGCTTGTATTAAAGGTTGTAGTATGTTTTGATTACTTAGTTTTATAAGCTCATTATGTGATTTTTATATTATTTTAAGTAAAGGTAATGAGCTTAAAGGTTGAGGCTAAGCATTGATGTTATTTTAGTTATATTTCCATATCTTAAAATTAATATGTATTTTTTTGTAGCTTGTGGTGACTATTGTATATATTCTTTTAGATTATAGACTTTAAAACATGATGTAAATATTGACTATCATAATGTTAATTATATTTTCACTATTTACATTTTATTTTTCTAAATGATATTAGTCAACTATGGTTGTCAGTGATTTGGTTATTATGAATTGATAAAGAAAATAAATGAAATTCTTCTATTTTAGAAAAAAAATATTATGTACGGGTTCGGATTCATCCGGAGACCAATAAAAATGTGCTAAGTCGCCTCAAAAATGTATCGCGCTCTATACTGAGCACTCGGTACCGAGTGCGGAACCGGACGGGAGAACTGTCCGATGTTCGCACAAAATAATTGCTCCTATTTTAGATCCCAAGGCATGATAGGTAAGTCCTAGAGGAAGAGAAATTCTATATTGTCTACCCTATGTTAGTGATTTGAGTAGAAATTTTAGAAGCATTGAAGATGTTCTCATGGTGAGAGAGTTTCCTAATGTGTTTTCTGAAGAGTTAGTGAGTCTACCTCTACAAAGGGAGGTAGAGTTTCATATTGAAGTGGTACACGGTACGTCTAATAGCTAAAGCTCTCTACAAAATAGCATCAAAGGATTTACAAGAATTAAGGAGTTAGTTTTGGGAGATGTTGTATAAAGAATTTATTAAGCCAAGTGGATCTTTGAGGGGTATTCACATATTATTTATACAGAAGAAAGATATAGTTTTATAGATTTTTTTTTTTATTATAAAGAACTAAATAAAGTAACAATTAAAAATAAATATCCATCCCTCATAATCAATATTTTTTTAACCAGTTAAAAGGTGTAGCAATACTTTTAAAGGTTGAAATTAGTTCTATATGTCATCAACTAAGGTGAAAGCTGAAGATGTAGTGAATATAACTTTAAGTGTCACATATGGTCAACATGAATTTTTAGTGACGCCTTAGAGTAACGAATGCGCTAATAGCATTTATGGATATGAAGAATAGAGTATTCAAAAAGTGTATAAATAAATTCATTATAATATTTATAAATTATATTTTGGTGTATTCGAAGATTGGGGATGACCATGTAGAGCATTTAAGGTTTAGTCTTGAGAACCCTAAGGTATCATAAGTTATATGCAAAATTTTTTAAGGGCGAGTTTTAGTTGAATTCTTTAGCATTTTTGGGGCAGTAAAAGTACATTGATGAACAGTGAAAGCGCAGTGGTGAACAATAACTTTATTTTTACTTCATTTTTACTCATCACAGTTACAAAACTGAATGATTCTCTGTGTCTGAACTTTACACGTAATAATCTCTCATTTGATTTAGAGTAGAATTGGATGTTATGAGTTGTTGATATGAGAGAGATACATGCACAAATATATCAAAATGGTACAAAAATGGGACCCAATCGCATGCATATGAGGAGAAAAAAAAATCAATTGAGTATGTAAGTTTTTAATGCATCATAATGGCAACATAAATAAGATTTAGGGCTCTAGATTATTTTGATTTACAAATTTTCTTTTTTATGAAAATATAACAAATTATAAATATTTTAATCAGTTTAACTTCTCATTATTTCAAAATATTTATAATACAAATATTATTAAAAAAAAAAAACTTGTTTTAAAATATTATGTTAATTTATGAGATTCAAAAATTTAATTATTTCCTGATGTATAATTTATTATGTTAATTTAAGAGATTTAAAAATTTCCGGATTTATATTTTATTTTAACACTAATAATTTAAGAATATAATAAATACTTTTGTTATTTTAAATTTTTAATATTTATAAAATATTTAAAAATATATATAAGTTAATCGCCCAGTCGGTAGAGCTTTTATTTGGTCCGGTGACCGGACGTAGAGCTACGTTCGGAGAGCGCTGAGAACGCGCCACGTAGCATGCACAAAACCGCGGACCCGATCCGGCGAATAGTGGGTATTGCACACGTGCTTTTTTTAAATCCATGACAACCCGGTATTGCTAGGTATTGCTCGGTATTGTTAGGTATTTGTCGATTTTGCTCGACAATTATGGGTGTCAATTTTTGACACGACCCGAAACACGACCCGAATCTGACCTCTAAAAATTTGGGTTAGGGTCAACCCGGATCTGAAACGGGTCGAGTTCAGGTTCAACAAATCAATCCGTTTTAAAATCGGGTCGGGTTCGGGTTGACCCAACAACCCGAAAATGACCCGAAATTGACATGAAAACTCATATTTGACTTAGAAACCCGAGATTGACCTGATTTTGACCCGAAAATCGAAGATTGACTCGATTTTTTACCCGAAAACTAGCAATTTTAGGTCAACTTCGGGTCATTCGTGTCGGGTCGGGTTGATTCGGACTCGAATCGGGTTGAGTTCGGGTCCAGAAACTTGACCCGTTTTTAAAAAGGGTCGCGTTCGGGTTGACCCAAACAGTGCCAGTTCAGTTCCGGCTCAACCCGAATCCGACCCGTTGACCCGAATTGACACCCCTATCGACAATAACGAGAAATACCATTATGTAAAGACAAATACCAAGCAATACCGAGTAATACCGAGCAATACCGAGCAATACCGAGTTTTCTAGAAAAACTCGGTATTACTCGGTATTGGTCTTCACAGAGCGGTATTTCTCGTTATTGTCAAATAATACCTAGCAATACCGAGCAATACCGAGCAAATACCAAGTAATACCTAGCAATACGCGAACATAGCATTCCCGGTTCCGCTCCGGGTCAAGTCGTCGGGCCAAGCGGTAAAGAGTAAGAGCACGTGGCCCGATCTCAGTGATGACCGAACGTAGAGCTAAGTCCGGTCACCGGACCTAATAATTATTCCAGTCGGTGGGCCATGTAATGAGCCACTACGAGGACGGAGCTGGTCACCCAAATTATGAGCAACTAACTCCTTTTTATTTTATTTTTTAAATTCTCTTCCTATAAAAAAAATCAACTCTTATGAAAATTCGGCCGATTGTCGTTACCTGGCGACCACACAACGACCTGTCGTAGCTCGTTGGATCCAATCAAATACACAACAAGCTTGTCATCGAACCGCGACAAATGGTCACGGCGTAGCAGACAGACAAAATCTCTCTCTCTCTCTCTCTCTCTCTCTCTCTTATGACCATACTACCGTTCGTAATGGGCGCTGAAGCGTACCTGAACCGTCCGATTAAAATGGAACGCCAATATCAAGTGACCCAGTCAGCCCGCGCTAGCTCAAGTGATCAAGTCGTCTGCTCTGCTCTTTCTACGTCGCTTCCACGTCCTCCCCACAAACCCTCGGCCATGGCAGGGTGCTCCCTCGACGAGACGAGGGCGGAGTTCTGCCGGAACTCTGCTGAGGCGACGCACTTGAAGTTGGTTTCAATTATAGTCATTTTAGCGTCCAGCGCTGCTGGCATCTCGTGTCCAGTGGCCCTCGCTCGCCTATTCGCTAGAAGTCCGGCCTACGCCAACGCGCTTCTCGTCATCAAGTGCTTCGCCGCCGGCGTCATCCTTTCCACGTCTCTAGTCCATGTCTTACCTGACGCCTTCGACGCCCTCGCCGACTGTCAGGTTGCTACTCGCCATCCATGGCGCGACTTCCCTTTTTCCGGCCTGGTATCTCTCATCGGTGTCCTCCTTGCCCTTCTTGTAGATGTCACCGCTTCCTCCCACGCCTCCGAGGATGCCACCAAGTATGTGAGAATTGGGCTAGAGGAGGTGGGAAAGGGGGTGGGGAAGCAGGTCTCGCCGTCTTCTGCGGCAGCGGAGGTAGCGGCGGTTGCGTGTCACGGGCATGGGCATCAGGGGGAAGAGGCGATTGACGTGGGGATAGAGGGATTGGATGAAGAGGAGCGATTGGCGAAGTTGAAGCAGAGAATGGTGTCGCAGGTGCTTGAGATCGGGATTATTTTCCATTCCGTGATAATTGGCTTGACAATGGGGATGTCGCAGAACCAGTGCACTATTCGACCACTAGTAGCTGCCCTCGCCTTCCACCAAATCTTCGAGGGGATGGGACTTGGGGGATGCATAGCCCAGGTAAAAGACCCCTTTCTTATCGGTGATTTTTATTGTATTATTCATGTTCAGTTCTAAAAAGGTTCTTCCTGGAAGCCCTCAACTAACTCGTTTCCTATTCTGCTTCTCATTCTCAAAAAAATACTATTTTACTTTAATTTCTCAATCTCTTTCTCATGCCGAGTAATACGGATACAATTATTTTATTTTTTTATTGGTTATCGTTCTTTTTACGACGATTAATGTGAATTTCAATTGCATTGTCATGGTAGGACGATTTATCTTACTCTTCCATGATTACCAACCCTTGAACAAATAAATATGCTTAACAAACGAGTTTATACACTTCCAATGAACTATATATCACGTTGGAGTTCGCAATTCAAAAGCGTTACATTTATAAATTTTGCTTTTGCAGTATTGCACCTCTGCGGAACCCATTATACCTAACACTATTTTTCACATTGGATGGAAAAGTATATTCTTTGATTTATTTCTTTAGGAGGATAGTTAATTGTTCTTTGTAGATAACTGAACTACAAATTTTAGATTAGTTAGCTTTTTCATTTCTCTCACGTGATTACTGTAACCTTTCTACACGGATGGCTCGGATTGATGGAAGGGCTTCATTATGGGATCCTTTCTGGGATGGGTTGCGTATTGTTAATAACATGAGTCATAAAGCAGAGTAAGTGGTTTGTCAAGTCATGTGCGTTAGTGGTGATCTACTAAGGCCCTTATCTTTTTTTAAATTGGGTAGGCTGATTTTCTACTCTGCTGGTTTTTTCTGCCAGCCTAGCTGAACAAAGTGGCTGATACCATCACTTTACTTTCACTTTTTTTTAAGTGAACAAGCATGGTTGTGGTTGTTAAAGTCCCAACTTGATCAAGCACAAATCTTAATGCAAAGTTCAGATCTTAATATTATTTAGAAGGGTCATATTGTTATTCATGTATGGTCAAATCTAAGAGAAAACACTTATTTAAATAGCATGACAATCCTTGTACAAGATCTGACATGTTTATTGAGTCTATCAATTCTTGGATTGCTCAAATTGGAGCTTTAAAGTCTCTAAACTGACAAAGCCAACAAATTCAAAGAAAAGCTAGCTGTCTGACTTGGACCAGACCGACTTGAGTTGAGGTTGGTCGCTTTCCCTTTGTTCACATCAAAAGGCCGCTTGCTGAATGAAGCTCCCTTTTCAGAAGTCTAGGTTTGGCCTGATAAGGCTCTTGATCTATCCTCGCCATAAACAACACATTGAGGACCTCCAACCATGTCAACATGTATTCATTATTGTGCAAGTCATTCCATAAGTTGCAGCTTTTTTGAATGTATTGCACCTTTGTTGCTCCATCTTTCAAGCCATTCGTTTCAAAAAGAAATGCAACATTATCGCCAATATTTGTTGGGTTTGTTCAATGACAACAAACCTTCTTGGATTCATTTCTATCAATGTGACAATTGAATTTTTTATCCATCATCACTAATGCATTCGAGAGATCATTACAATATGATATATTCAAATCATTAATCGAAGACATAGTTAGCAGTAGTTACACTAACTGCTATTGTTATGCACCTTCAGTTGCAATTAGCGAGATATCGTCAGCCGCCCATATATTAGCCTAATTCTGGGTAGGCCAATTGGGTTACTCAGAACAACCTTTTTTATTGTTGGAGTTTACGAGCTTATTATTTATTGTTGATAACTAAAAAATGAATAGTTAAGGATTTGAATACTTCTCTAGGAGTGTATAAATAAAGAGCCCTCCATGTGAGTAAGTGGTAAAACTCTCTCCTTTAAAAATAAAGCATACTATCGGCATAAGATTAACACCTACGCTTTCATAGGGTCATAGTATAACTCATTAATCAGTTGTATTGCTTGTATTACTTATTTATAGCTTCCTCGCTTAAGTCAGCCATGTCTCTTCTATCTATACTCAACTTTTTTATCAGCTTTGTCACTTATGTCAACCATATTACCTACATCTCTAGATACAATTGTCTTATGCTTCACAATCAGCTACATCAATTGTGTAGCTTTTGATGTAGTCTCATCACCCACTCATCAACCAATTTCCTTGCATTGATGCCGGAGCTGAGCTGATCAATCCTATTTAACTTTAGGCTAGTTTTAATTCCAATTGGTAGATATATAGTTGTTCTTTTAAGGCATGTAGCCTTTTATGTGGCCTAATTGTCTATAAATACTTGTAGCAATTGCTTGTAATGACAGCTTTTGAGATATGAATAAAATTTGAGTTTAGTTTGTTCATTTTTTGTATCCTAAGCGTTGTTCTTAGGTGGTGGTTCTTGCTCCAGGAAGGAGTTCTTGGAGTGGTGTTCGGCGACCGCCACCGGATCATCGACGTGGATTCGTCGAGCCCCCTCCGGTTCGGTGTCATTTGGTATCAGAGCTGGCAAGTTGCTGGCGTTCTTGTCCGTAGCCGTGTCGCCTTTGCCACTGGCATCAATTGGCGGCAACCCATCTTTGGTGGCGAATCGGCCTCAGAAGCAGAGCCGATTCGGTGACGAATTGACTTCATTTGGTGTTGGTGGAGAAGCCCAAGCAGTGGCTACAGCTCTTCCTCCGCAGCGCTGACATCCACCTTTTATTTGTTCTTGGGTGTGGACCTCAAGAAAGCAATTAGAAATTGAATTCTTGTTGCTGTCCGGTTTTCAAATCCATCCAAGAAAGGTGAAATCATCTTCGGACACAGCCAGATTTCATCGAGGATCTGGTCTCGGGCCTCATCTCTGTCTCTTTCTCGGTATCTCAGCGTCTTTCTCGCCGACGATCTCACACTAGGGATGTTCTCTGTGATCAAAGAGAAAGAACTCTTTGGCTTCGTGGAACTGACATCGACCACCCATTGCCTCCTTCGGTCAGTAATACCATTGGATCTTCACATCACATCAATTATTACTGCTGTCGAACCTATTCTTCTCCAGCAACATTTGCTCCAGAAGATGTCACTCGTTGGAGTTGTCAACGACCACTTCGAGACGCAGAAATAGAAGATCTTCAAAAAAATATTATTCGACTCAAACGACGGCTGTCAAGGCTTGAAAAAAGGACATATTGGAGCACCCTCGGCCAAGACTTTGATAGTTTCCAATCACGGGACAGTTATGCTTCAATGACGGATTCAAGATCCTTCGTTCCAAGTAAATCCTTACGAACCGACGATAACGACGAGGGCATTTTAGATGATCAGATCTCTTCCATCCAACCCTCGATCGAGTTCAACTTCGAAGAATTTGAAGATCCACTATCGAAATCGTCGTCTTTGCCTATCTTTGATGAACCCGTTTATGACGTGTATAATGACGACATGTTTGACAGATTCTTGACTTTGATCAGCCCACATATGATTGCAATGAGAGCAAGAAGGATGCCCAACCGGAGTTATTCATGAATATCATTCATGATAAGATAACGAATTCTCTCTCCCTCATTGACAATGAAATTGATGTGACCAAACTTGACCATGACAACCATCTTGGTACCTTCATACATTCCGACACAAAATCCTTGGAGATGATCGCTGTGGATGACGATTTTCAAAGAGATAGGCTTTCTCATGTCATGAAATATGAGGTTGAATTTAATAAAGCTGCACAATCTCTGGCTGATGTTGTTATTCCTACTAACCAGAAGAAAGTTGCTTTGAGTTGATTTATCAAAGATAATATTGCTTTCATAGCAGTACTTGAAGACAAATTTAGCAACCATGTTGCTGATTGTCTTGGGAGCAGACAACTTCTTTGTGTGGCTAATACTAATGTAAATGTTCCCCAAGAACTCACAGATGTTAAGCTTTGGCAGGTTCACACCCTCTTAAAAGGATTGGAAAAGATAGCAGTTAGTGCTGACATCCCAATGTTGGTGTGTGCATATTTTAATTTTGTTCCGGGCAATGCACCTGATGCTCTACTTGCTATGGGCAAAGTAGATCAGATGCATTCAAACTTGGTCGTTGATCCCCTTGGGATCTTACACCCTGCAAGCAAGTTAAATCATAAACTTCCATTGGTTAGCGCATACTCATGATTTTCAAGAATGAGTAGTGTTGGTCCAAGTTTAGAGCAACAGAGGATAAAAATGGACTCCACAACATATAAATCTAAAATCGGGTGGAAATATCCAGACCGGTTTAGCCAACCAAACTCACCTCCTTATGGTGGCCAACCGAACAGTTTCTTATGAGCCTGAAGTTCCTCCTACCCCGGTAGTATGACGCCGGAGCTGAGCTAATCAATCCTATTTAACTTCAGGCTAGTTTTAATTCCAATTGGTAGATATATGGTTGTTTAGGAGTAGTACTTTCTTTTAAGGCATGTAGCCTTTTATGTGGCCTAATTGTCTATAAATACTTGTAGCAATTGCTTGTAATGACAGCTTTTGAGATATGAATAAAATTTGAGTTTAGTTTGTTCGTTTTCTGTATCCTAAGAGTTGTTCTTAGGTGGTGGTTCTTGCTCCAAGGAGTTCTTGGAGTGGTGTCCGACGACCGCCACCGGATCATCGACGTGGATTCGTCGAGCCCCCTCCGTTCCGGTGTCATGCATGCATTACTACATGTAATTTAATCACTTCCTCCATTGTTTACTATGTTTCTCACACTGTTTCATGCAGCTTTAATGCTAACACCTCATCCGATCACTTTTCCTACACTACTTTATGGGGCTTTATTGTTCAAGCTAGCTACAATGTGCACACCATTACATTCAGCATTCTCTGCTCTCTTTGTTGTTTGTCATTATTCTTGTGACCTTTCATTCAACTCTATTGTTAAGTTGACCATATCACTTGAACCATTGAATACAATCACATAAGCTAACTTTATCGTAGATGCTAATTATTTTGCCTGCTACACAAGTTGCTTTGGCTACATTTTGTGTTTTTTCATCACTAACGCTATATCACACATGTCACCTTGACAATCAAGTAGTATTTTATCAACAAGTCACCCTATTAAGTGTGTCTCATATAAACTTTAAATTGTCAAGA